TTCAAGAATCGATTACAAATTGATTATAATCATACGATTTTAATCAATAATTTCAACTGTAATAATCATAAGAAAATCAGTATTTAATCGATTTTTTCCATTTTTATGATTACAATCAGTTTAAAAAAATATTCTTAATCAATTATAATCATAAAAATGGAAATAATCGATTAAATACCGATTTTGCTATGATTATTACAGTTGAAATTATTTATTAAAATCGTATGATTATAATCGATTCTGACCTCTCTAAAGCTGAGTTTTTTCAATATTTTTTTACATGGGTACTCGACGAAAGGTACGTGCTGGAAACGCCGAAAGAAAAAATGTCGAAAGAAAAAAACGTCGAAAAAATAAGATTGACATTTATTTTTCGGGGTTATTTTTTCGGCGTTTTCTCTTTTGACATTTTTTTTCGGCGTTTTCAATGTAAATCTCGACGAAATTCCTATGATAACCATTGTTTTATTGTATCATTTTACTTTCTACAGTAGTTTATTGAGCGCTTCTTGGAGCTTCGGTAAAAATAAAGTCTGTTTTGATGAATTTGAGTCATTAATTGATTTAAGTAATCAGTAAATTTTTCATTCCTGTTCGCTTTTGCAGGAGAAAAGGGTCACACACTCGCAGACTTCTCTTTTAAAGTAAAGTTGGGTAGCAAGCTACGACCTAAGATCCTTACAACACAAGTTCTAGGTGTGTTGGAGAGGACTTACAAAATTCCGTTAGATTGAATGCGTAGCAGGTGAAAAGCGAGAAGAAAAAAAGGGAAAATAAGGAAAGAAAACATTGAGAGAATAGAATAAAAGTCAATAGAAGTAGAGATAATATAGAATTAGAAAATTTAGAAAGAAAAAGAACAACGGAAGAAAAGAAGAAGACAGGAAAGAAGAAAAAGAAAAAGAAAAAGAGTGACTAGTATCATGACGGGTACGATCATCGAGCTCCCATGCACGCCCCGAAGATTACTTCTTTAACTATGTATATGGTCGTTAAATGATTCAATGCTTATGAGTATGCTAGACCATATAGTGCTACAAATAGCTCTGGCTGCAGTGCGCGCGGCGATTTGTCCATACAAAACAATGAAAATTCGATCATCCAAAAATGACATGATAATTATGTTTTTCAGCGACTACTTTATCAAAATAATAAAATAATAGAGATATATTCTAGAAGAGGCAAATCGATACAATTCATTATACTAGAGGGCATTTTCAAATAACTCTTCGCAGTAATGCACGAAGACAATAACCTTCTCAATACAGAGTTACTGTTACGACCGAAGTGTTCACCTTCGATCGTAAGACGGAACAAACGAATAATACACGCTCCTTTCTAGTATAGTGGTAGTACAGCTGCTCGAAAAGCAGAAGACGTTGGTTCGATTCCATCTGAGGGAGATTATCCTTTTGTTCCGTTCTGTTGTCATATTATCACGTTGCTGTCTCGCTGATAACTGAGTTTAATAATGTGAGAGAAAAGAAGACATAACAGTTACCTTATAATTTTGGCCCCTACTGTAGTATTATCCTCAATAAATGATAGCCCGTGAATCCGTATACGGCTCTTCTGTCTTCTGGAAACATTCTTAATACCAGAATATTTGTCAAACAGCTATAGCGTCATGGCTTAATTCCATAGTGATCTCCTAATAAATGGTGATTCGTTTTGATATAAAATATTGCTTTGATCAGCGTAGTAACGTTAAATTTTTATGATACGAAGGAGAAATACAATTATTTGACTTTTTAAATTAATAGTGTGTAGAGATGCCATTCTATTCATTCAATGTAAATAGATAATTGTCCTCATCACTTTCGTATGAGAGCTCAAGATTAGAGAGATAGTATCGACCTTATCGATCGGGTTTCTGTTTTTTGTAAATACTTTTCTCGTAGATCTAGCTCAGTGTAGTTCACGACCAAAGAAAAAGACTCTTGATGTAACATAGAAGAACGATAACTCACTATCTGGGAGCCCCCAGTACAAGTATAATACCATGCAAGTACTCCCTTCGCTGAATCGTATAACTGGACGATCAAAATGGCATCTGTTAAGATGACGTTTTTGGTACTTCACGATAGAGAAATCGACGTTTGACGACTGCGTAGTAACCGTTTTCATGCGTTTTAACAGCCTCAGTAAAACGAAAGTTAACATATATCGACGATTTACCGTAATTTCCCGTTTTTCTCACCGTTTACACGCCGTTTATTATATGTTTACTACTGTATTAATGAACCTGTTGGAACGGAGCGTTTTGTTATCGTTTTACTGTCGTATCTTCATCGAAACATTCGTTTATGGATCGTTTCGTTCGACCTGGGATTGCATGTACATTTGATAGGAATTAGTGGTCTTGTGTTCTGCTCGTGATCGAATTCGCATAATATTCTCAGTTCCTGTTAGGATGCATCCTTCCACAAAACATCAACGTCTGGAACCGTTAGGTCTGTGGTCTTGATACTTTCTTCAGCATAACTGGACGCTTTTTCCAGTTGGAAAATTATTGTGAAACGGGAAATGCACTATTAGTTTTTTTCTTTAGAATTCGGTTGAATTGTGGTTAGCAGTTTGATAGCATCAAGATTGACGACAGAAAACGAGTTTCCCAAATTATCGAATTCAACCGCATGCCAATAACGGTTTCCCATCAAGTTTTCTTCGACTAAACGCTACCGCACCAAGGTGCTTCCCATAGATAGTTGATTCATATGGTGAACGAAGCGATCATCATTACGTGAAGTTGTTACCATAGCAATACGGAAGCTATTTACAAGTGCTGCGGCGATAGCGAGAAAACTTGGCAATGCTGGCGATTATCAACTCTGGATAGTTTGGATGAGCTATTTGATTCTTTTCAATCTTGCATTAACACTTTCCACCAATCATCGTAATTTAGTGATAAATCGAGATCGGTTAGGATCGTAGATACTGAAAATTTTTATATTCACTCATTCAATAACAGGATAATTGTGTTCATGCCTATTGCTCTGAGTGCCCCAAGGAATGCTCATACTTANAGAGGGGGGGGGTTACTAAGTATGAGCATTCCTTGATTTACAATTCTACGGACATATTAAAAGCCCACCCTATCTTAAATAAACACAAAACGGGGAATTTAACATATTGGATGGACTACTTTATTGCTTATCCCTGTTTCGTTGTAACTCAATTTATATACTTCATTTGCTTTTTTTGTATGCAATCTAATACCAACAAATACATGAGCCTCTATCGAGAATTGAGAAATATGAGGCATACATATTAATAAATTTTAGCTGTCTAAGAAGTATGGGAGATAAATTTGAGGACAACAATGTCAACCTGTTAAGTTTCTTCTTCTTATGAAAGTAGGTAGAGTTCGAAAGCTGAATGATTAAAATTTTTCTAACTTGACAACATTGTGAGCATATCTTTCAATGAAGATGAGACTTCTAGAAATGTTGAGCTATGGTCAATATCAGTCACGCGAGAGTTCATAAGATTCAAAAACAGATGCCAATGAATGACGGTGCGGTATCGATTATTATAACACTTATAAGATCTCGAGTATCTCTTTTTTTTAGAAATGAGAGATCCTTATTCTATTGTCAAAGGTTTAGTTCTATATTCTTATCTGTTTCGGTAGGTAAAATATGTCGTATTTCATATTTCATATTTGAAGCATGCATAAACGCTCACGATGGAGTCGTTTGGTAGCACTATATTCGTATATGTCTAATAGAAAGTTTCTCGACTTTTTAAAGCTTTACAATTTCCTAAATCAATGCATAATACTAACGGCAGTTTTCGTATTATATAAAGTCCCATGAAGTGTTGAAGTAGATGAGCGCTTTAATGTGAATACTAGTGTAAAGAACGCTTGACTTTCTTGGTTTGATAGTATTGAACCGAAAAAGAAGTCCTTGCCAGTTTATAGTCTCTAGGAAGCCATGGCAGCTCTTTTGAAAACTTTAGATAATTTAAACATTCCGAGTTTAATTTCTGAGCGTTTCTGTGCTTGTAAGCTGATAAAATCCTAGCTGCAATATACAAAAAGTTGATCGCAATAGAAGCCCATGTCTAGATTTAAAATTTTCGAAACAAAATAGAAGCCCAGTGGGCTTTTATTCTCTGGGAAGGGGGCGGGGGTAGTGAAGCAACTTTCGATATTTATTGACGCTAGTCTATGATTCTGCATACAGTGGTCGAGGCATGCCACCAACAAAGGAAATCTCTCATACATTTTCAAGCAGTTTGTACAATCTGGATTGGAACGTGTCCCGAGCGTAGCAATAGATCCAGGCATCCGATGCACCACTTTATAGGGAGTGAAAAAGTTGAGCCACCTTGTAAATTTATTAGTCTGCTCATAATCTGTATATGGGACTAACGTAAGGTGATTTGTATTTGCCTATAGCAGACTGATTATGCTATCTATGACACTATTATGGTATTAGTGTAAGAGAGATGCGAACATATTGATGAAAATAGAAAATTCGATACATCATTGGGTTTTCAGAGTGATAGAATGCCAATTACTATATCATTTTTGAATGATCCTCAAGTGAATTCACGTTTAGGGTTTTTGTGCACAAACTGTCCAGCATCCTTTACATGTTCGAGAAATAGTTAATAATTATTTTCTCAAAAATTTAATTCCCATCTCTGTATCAATAATCATTTCTGTATTAAGATCCTCAACATTACTGAATATTTTTTTAAGATTTACCCCGTTATAAATTCAGTAAGCAAGAGTTTTGCTTTCATCTAAGAAACTTTATCACAACACTTATAGTTGTAATTATGGCACTCTTTATAGCAAATTTTGGAATTATAGCCTTTCATGTTGGAATATCTTTTACATCTCGAACTTACTCTGCCGTGCAGTATCCCATTTTAGGAAGCTAAATTAACAAGAGAAAAAGAGTGAATTTATTTTTGAATGATCAAGTAGTTTCCACTACGTTTGTTAAATTATTTACTTTTCAGAGATTAAGTTACATCAAGCAGCAATGAAAATTTCGATTTTAGGCACTGGATTGATGGGTGCCGCACTTACTGAAGGTCTCATAAATGCTAGCCACGATGTTATCGTGTACAACAGAACAATTGCTAAAACGGAACCACTCAGTGCACTCGGTGCAAAGGTGGCAGCTACGCCAGTCGAAGCAATCACAGCGTCTGATGCAACAATCATTATGCTTTCCGATGGTGTAGCTTTACGTGAAATGCTTTTGAACGATGTGACAAGAGTATTATTAAAAGGCAAAAAAATACTGAATGGCTCGACAACAACTTATAGCGAAATTGTAGAGATCGCGTGTGTAGTTGCCGAATACGGCGGAGATCTTGCTGAAATGACTATCATGGTCAGCCCCGACCCTCTACGTAATAAGCAGGGACGATTCATGATTGGTTGTAAGACTATTGATGAATCATACTGGACAGAAATCCTACTTAGTATTGGAGAATCTGTCAATCGTCTAGGTGAAGTTGGAGAAGCATCAAAAGCAGAAGCACCAATGATATTTGCCTCAATATTCATTCCTGTGACAGTAGCCTATGCAGCAGCGGTAGCCGCAAAAATGAACATGCCTCAAGAACTAAGTGAGCGTTATATTAACATGGCTATCCCGACAGCTGAATACGTACTACCGAATATGCTTGCGAGAGACTACAGCAAATGCATGGCAACTGTCGACAGCTACGCAAGCGCGGTCACTACAGCCATCAAAACCGCCGAATCCGTTGGTGTACCTACTAAAATTCTGAAAGATATACAAGATCTTTTCAGATCAGCGGCAGAACGAGGTTTTGCTCAAAAAGATGGTAGCTCCATCTTCGAAGTATTATTTGAACCAAATGCCAATGATAAATAAATTAAACAACAACTTTTCTTTGGCATAACTCGCATACTGAACTAATATAGTGTTTTGTTGTAGTGCCGATACAGATAGGTTCGTTCTTCTGGAGAAAATAAATCATAATAACTGAATCAATAATGATAGAAACAGATCAAAACATACAGTAAAACCTCTCTATAATGAACTCTCACGGGACCCTTCAAAAAGTGTTCATTAAAGACGGTGTTCATTATAAAGAGGTTTTGCATTAGCTAAACTCTTACATGCATACAGTTCATGTTTAGTGACACCAATTGGTGTCTACTAAGCACCTTGTGTATCCGAATCAAACGGGAAATGACAGACTTGAAGTAGAAAATACGTCCAAGTACATCAAAGTAGACTGCTTGAAGTAGTTCAAAGTAGAACCAAGTAGCTGAAGTAGCTTGAAGTAATCTCAAGTACTTCAAAGTAAACTACTTGAAGTAGCTTAAAGTAGTTGAAAGTAACTTGAAGTCCAAAAGTCTGCTGTTTCTCCCTTGTGTTTCCCCCTTGATCAGAATTCACCACAAATAACGTAAAGCGAGAATACATCCTATTCCGCAATGTTGAACATTCCGGAACCAGTTCCGTTCACGGAACCAATTCCATGAAATTCCCGGAATTTCGTTTATCACTTCCAACACAATTCCGGAATTCCCAGAATCACTGCCTACCGATTCCTTCTAATTCCCGGAATTCTGTTTATCCCGTCCGATTCAATTCCGAAATTCAGTGCACCCACACTCCCAGGTCGAACATTCCGGTCCCGGAAACGGCCGGTTCTGTGGTATTCCGGTGAAAGGATCCGGTAACCGGATTTATCCGGTTCCGACCGGAATCGACAGGAACCTGTCAAAGCTAGTACCGGATACGGTTTTCGGATTCCTGCATCAAACTCCAGAGAATTCCCGGTGGGTTCCGGTCAGAAACAGCGAGTTTCTTGCAGGTTTTCGCCGGAAATTCACGGAATACTGCTTCAGGAATCATTGTCCTGGACTGACATCCACACCCACACCATGCAATACCGGTACGGAATTCCTAGGAATTCCGTCTAATTCCCAGCGATTCCGTATTGACCTAATTCAGGAATTCCGGACCGAAATCGGATCATCAAGAAATGGTTAAGAGGAGATAGAATAGTAATAGAAGTTTTGATTCCGGAATTGGACGGAATCCCGTGTAATTCCTAGGAATTCTCGGTAACTCTACTTTCACCTAATTCCGGACTTGGACTGGATTCCGTGGAGAATGACTAGCTTTAACTTTACAAAACAGGAAACATACTCAAATTTGACTTTAAATAGTAGCAATCAAGTCAAAAACTATGTTTATCTACTAGTTTTTAAAATTTAACTAATTTGAATTTTAAATTTCATTAAATTAAAATTTCTTGAAATTTAATTTATTTTTAATTAAAACTTTTTTAAATTTTAAATTGTCACCCGCACTGTGGGATTAAAATGTGAAACACGATAAAGCTCCTTTTCTGGAATCCGTCTACTACGGTCTGTGATGGTCTGTGGTGCTTCTCTGTCACGGTCTATATTATGGTGTGTGGCGATTTTAGATAGAAGAGATGCCTGTGCTGATGGTATTACACTTTATTTAACTCTTTAAATCATAAATCGCTTCAATTACACATAAAGCACGCGCTTAAATACTCAACCATTTGAGAGAACGAAGCAGAAGGATAGGCAAAGACAAATGTAAAGGACAGAAAGATAAAGACAATAGGTGTGATGATAGTAAATGGCATTATAAGAGCAAACGTTATGTATAGGTTACACTCGAACGAGAGCATTACACTCCTGGATGGAATTTGGACGCTCTTCGCATATAGCATTACATGGTGTATGGAGTCTCTAGAGACCATCGTAGACCGTTACACAGACTTCAGAAGCCATCACAGACCATAGTAGACAAATTAATTAATTGATTAACCAGCTAACTAATTAACTAATTGCACTATCCCTGTATGTGGGGGACTGGGCCTGGGGATGGATCTAAATTTCTACCCTATATACTTCAACACTCCTTTCACATCGTGTTTCACAAAACTAACCGGCATAGTACGGTTTTTAGAGAAAAAACATTTTTCAAGAAAATTTACCAGTAGAGCCCATGTCTCTAAAGCGAACGAACAATATAGGGGTGTGTATTCTGAATCTTATATAAGATCCATTTTTCCTTTTAGAATTACTATCTTTATTCCATGAGAAAGAGCACAAAATTCTGCATTTGCTCATATAAGATTTTTAAATATCAGCATTTTAATTTAGTCAAAATAGTTTTAATTAATAGACGATCCGAATCGGGGATCGCAGATATGATGGTTCTTTTGTTTGTGAAACCACAGATACCTGAGAAAACGGCAAAAACTAGTGAATTTTTGAAATACTCAGCTGTCGACGCTTTGAAGCTTTGGACCAGTTGATCTCTCAACAATTGATTTTAGAATGATAGAAACATACTGCGTCAAATAAAATTAATCATACTACTTGAGTTGTGGTGAATGCGAATTTTCTACAAAATATTTTGACTAAATTAAAAATGTTGACATTGAAAAATCCTTGTGGGGGACCACAGCGAAAATGTTTTCGAAAAAAACATATTTGATCGAATTGAACAAGAAGATAATGAATTATGATCAAAATTTTATGCGGATTTTAACCGTATAATTTATTTTTCCAAAATTATAGAGATATCGAAAATGCTGTCAATCTTAAATTCGTTTGTCTTAAAACATAAAAAACACAGAAAATATGCTTTTGTGACGTTACTTCTCATGTTCTAGTTGAACTGCTAGTATGTTGTAGAGAAAACAGTTCTGAAGATCTTTGCCAGCGGAAGTTTTATTGAATTTTGATTTTGACCTACGGTACATGAACAAATACTGAAGCAGGGTGAATCGCCAATTAAAACAGCTAGACCTTTTGCTTTATGTGTAGTGCACATAAAGCGAACGGAAACTATTTTTTTATCTCATATATAAAAAGTTTAAATCAACTTCAATTAAGCTGAACCGCTAGAATATTATAGAACTGAATTAGACGGATCGAATGATATCAATTTCAAAAAAAATCCATTGAAGTTTCCGGACAGGAAAGAGGAAATAGTTTACGTTTTTATATTTTGCTTGTTTTTCACAGGATCGTTCGCTTTAAGGACATTTTCTTGCTGACTGTTCGCTTTGTGAATATGTACGTAAAACAAACGTTCTGACATTTCGATTTTATACCGCTGATTGCTCGATTATTTTTTAAGCTATGAACTATATTTTTATATGAAAAGATGCAGAATTTTGTCCTCTCTCCCATGGAATAAAAATAGTAATTCTAAAAGGAAAAATGAGTCTGATATAAGATTCAGAATGCACACCCCTATATCGTTCGTTCGCTTTAGGGACATGGACTCTACTCCTCCCTTGGTAATAATTCAATCGAAAATGAGCTGCAGAGGAGCACAGGTAAATTTTCTTGAAAAAACACATTTTTCTCTAAAAACCGTATTACGTTGGTTTGTTTTTTATGCTGATATTGGATATCCTATTTATCTTGCACAAAAAGTAACTAATGATGTTGACATTCAGTATTTTTTGAAGATTTGTATCGAATTTTACAAATCAACACATTTTGCTCTGTAAAAAAAAATAAAATAAAATATTTTCCTTGAAGACTTTCACACGATTTTATAGATTTTGAAATGCTCTATCGAATTATATATAGAACGCTATTTTAAAGTACAGTCGTAATTATGAAAACACAACTGAAAGCCATTGAAGCGTAAAAACTAGGTGTTATGATCTGATCCTTATCCGATCATAAGACGAAGATAAAGTGTCTCTTCTAGGCTAACTGGTTGCGGACATCTGCCCGGATAGCAGAAGGTACGTGGTTCGAGTCCAGTGAAGAGTTATCTTTTTCTTCGTTCTGTGGTCTTTCCAGCTCGCTGCATTACCTCGTATGATTCATAAGATCAAAACGAATCATAACAGTAGGTGTCTATCTCAAAGTCTCTCATGAAGCCGGAACGTGCAACCTCTGCGTGGTATGAGAGAGAAACTTAAAGATATCTTTAAGGTCAATGCGCGTACGCAGAAACTATCGGGGAGCAGCGATAGTGGATTGCTACGAAGTACTCGGACTGCGCTGAAGAAGGAAATGGTAAACCACTTCAGTATTCTTACCAAGAAAATTCAATGAGCAGACAATCAACGATGTTTCAAGTTATGGTGCTGGAAGATGAGACCCCCAGGTCGGAAGGCACCGAAAAGATGACTGGGGAAGAGTCAAGGCCGAGTACAATTAGTAATGTAAATAATGACGCTATTGAATCAAAGCCGAAAGGAAGTTCAATCGCTGAGCACTACAGATACAAGCGGAAAGACCAAAGCTTTTTAAAAACACATAAAATTGGTACATGGAATGTAAGA